CCCTCCCCCCCCCTCCCTCCCTCTGTCACCAAACGCATTTATTTGTCTTTCTCTTCCCATATCTCTATAGGGGCAATTACGTAACTGAAACCGAAGACAACCATCAAAAAAATTCTCTCTCTGTGTGCCTAGACAATCACCCAGTCAACATTTCTCTCTTCCTATATCTCTTATAAGCTATGTTACCTGATCGTACGTCTGGGACCCCCTTGACCGTCCGGGACTGTCCGATCGGACAACCGGTCGACCGTCCGTTGGGGGCCCTACGTCCGATCGAAAAAAAAATAAGGGGGGGTTTAGGACACGGACTTGGGCGGTGCAGGGGTGGACTGCGGGGACAGGCGAACCCGGGGCGCCGACGGGAAGAACTGTTGGAGGCCGGTAGGGCCTCTGAAAGCGAAAAAAAAGGCCTCATCTGGGCCGTTAGATCTGCGAGATCAAGTGCCCAGATTGGGCTATTTTCAAATTCGGAATGGGGGCAGTGGCGTTCTCCCCCTCGCGTCTCGGCCCGCGCGCTGTTGCCGTAGTTTCGGTGTTGCCATTGCCGAACTCTGAGGTCCACGAGCGCAACCCCACGCGCCATCGCCCGCCCACATCAGGTGAGGCACCTTTCCTTCGTCCACCTCCTCCTCCTCCTTCTCCCCCCCCTCATCATCCTCCTCCTTCCACTTCTCCTATCTTCCTCCTTCCGCTTCTCCTCTCCTCGTTCTCCTCCTTCTCATCTTCCTCCTCCTCCTCCTCCTCGTTGTCGTCGTCCTCCTTCTCCACCTCCACCTCCTCGTGCTCCTCCTCCTCGTGCTCCTCCTCCTCCTCCTCCTCCTCCTCCTCTTCTTCTTCCTCTCCTCCAGCGCCATGGCCTCCTCCTCCACCATCGTCGGACCCTTCTCTTCTTCCTCATCATCCTCTTTGTCCTCCTCCTCGTCCTCCTCATTGCCCTCCTCCTCCTCCTCCTCGTCCTCCTTCTCCTCCCCCTCCTCCTCCTCCTCCTCCTCCTCTTTCTCCTCCTCTTCTTCCTCCTCTTCCTACTCCTATTTTTCCTCCTCCTCTTCTACTTCTTCCTCCTCCTCCTCCTCCTCCTTCTCTTCTTCTTCTTCATCCTTTAAGTTCTCTCTCTCCTCCTCCTCCTCCATCGTCGTGGCCTCCTTCTCCCCGTTTTTTTTTTTTCCCGCTCTTTTTTCAATCAGTCAATCAATCAATCAATCAATCGATCAATTGATTGATTGATTGATCGGACAAAAAA